TGCTCATCTGTAGGAAGCCCATTTATAAAGAGTTTTTAGGGTTTTCAAACCCTATTAAAAGAAGACCTGAGGCACCATTGGGGAATACCATTTTTACATCTTAGCTTTGGCTCTAGAATACATCTGATCTCGTCTCTCTTGCACGAGATCCTTAGCACATGCTTGGCGACACTTGGAGCTTCGACCGATCGTACTTGAAGACCAAGAACACATCTCACACTCTAGTTAGCTATTTCTTTTGATTATGACTTTGTTTATGATTGTTTTAGTTCTTTTCATTAGCATGAGTAACTAAGTCTATAGCTAAGGCTATGGGAACTATTATTCATGAATTTATAGAATTTTAATATTTGAATTTAAATTTGATTTCCGTTTTGTGATTAGATTTTATCCTATTGCGCTTCTTTCTTAATCCTAATTAATTATATCGTCAGGCGACCATACCTCGGTTAATTAATATATCTATAGGGTAAAACGAGACAAAGGATTAGGTGGACCAAACTAATCTTTCTCTTCTAATAATTATTAAAATAACAAGTTCATAGGTTCCTCAAGCTTTTTCAAATTGATGTCTTGCATGACCATTGGAGATATTAATTTAGAGAAAATAATATTAATAATTAATGACCATTGAGTATTAATAGTATTCGTATGAATGATTGGGAATCACAAGAAAATTGGATTTAGAGTTAAATAGAAAAATAACATAAAGGATTGAATGAGAAAACCCATATGCCCTAAGTTCCTCTCCAATAAGTTTAATCAAGACGTGTTTTGTATTCCTTGCTTTTAGTTTATAATTAATTTTATAAATTATTGTTTTAATTAATCTCATATCTTTGAAGCTTAAACAATTGAATTAGGAAATTCTTAGTAATTGGAAAACAATTCTTGTGGAACGATATTTCGGGAACTTAATATAAGAACCCTTTATTACTTCTCGATGGGTACACTTGTCCTCCAAACATATTAAAATCTTTATTTTATTTATATGTTATTTGATCTTTTGCATTCTAACTTTTTCAATTTATTTTCTATAATTTTATATTCAATTTTAGTAATTTAGAAAATAATAATGAAAATAAAGAAATCATTAAATAAATAATTTATTATTATTAATAAATAGACAATGAAAAGAATATACATTATTATAATGCTCAATACCATAAAAATTATTTATTTAGTAATATTTTATTCATGAAAGTGTTAGAATTATTTTAAGTAATTATTTTATTTGATTAAATTCTAGAACTTATGAATAGTAATAAAAATATTTACTTTTGAACTTTTTCAATATTTTAATATGGTAATGAAATTATAAAATAAAATATTAAATTTTATATCTTTTTCAGGACACAATATTCACTTTGAATATATGTTATGACTCAGTTTTTTCAAAGGTAAGTAAATATAATTTATTTTGTTAATAAAGTATTGTACATATTAAGTGATCAATGTAATATTAAAAAATAATTATGTAAAGGAACAAGATTATAAATTAAATACTTCATTTTTCGTTAGTCCTTCAAAAAATTATACTTAAAGATAAATTGTTCCCAGAAATTTTTGAAAGATATAATTTTTTATTTCACACTATGGATGTTTCAATTTCAATAAAAGATTTTCTACAAAAGAGGAAGTGCCTTGCTGCTCAACACTCTCTCATAAGCAATTCCTACAAAGATTTTCTTTAACTCTCTACAGAACATGCCAAGACAGTTGACACAAGCAAGCAATTTATCGCAATCACATAGACGTTCTTTATATTTTAATTTCCTTGTTTAAGCAATTGTCTATTTCTACTAACTTTTAACTTGTACAACTCTTTCTTCCTTCCAAATAAACAATATATTTCCTTATTTTAACTTTTAAGTAACGTTATTACATTATTTATTTTCCTCAAAACGTTGTATATTTTTTTATTATTTTATCATGTATTTATTGCAATAATTAATAATGATCAATTTTTATATTATAAATGATAATATACTCTTAAATATTAAAATTAATTGAGAATATTGTGTAAATTATTATTTTTTAATAATTTTTATTTTTATTTTTATTTAAATATTTATTAATTTCTTTCTAAATTTTAAAAATTAAAATTGTTACTTAACTTTCTCTTATTGCCTTTCATAAATTTATAAATTTTTTATAAATACCCATTTTTATATTTATAAAAATTATCATAATTTTTTCTATTATTTTATTTTAGAATTTATTTTTAATAGTCTTATTTCTTTTATTTATAATGATTAATATATATATTAATTATTGATATTTAATTAAAATATTTTTTACACTACGATAAAATTATTATTTTAAAATTATTTATTTTATAAATTTTATTATCATTTTATATATTATATAGTTAATTTAAAATGTTTTTAAAGAAATTTACTGTTTAAAATAATTTTATTATATATATAATTATTTATAAGATTATATAATTTTATTCTTTAATTATTAAATTATATAGATTTATTCTAACCTAAAATACATGTGTTACTAAACGAGTAATAATAATAATAATAATAATAATTATTATTATTATTATTATTATTGTTAATAAAATAAATTATCTCAATTGCTTAAATAAACCCGTACATTACTCGTTGGAATTTAACTCATAAGACAAATAAATACTTACTCATCATACATCAATCAAGAGAATAATTAAAAAAATATTATATATATATATATATATATATATATATATTATATTTCCCTATCATGTATTAAAAAAATAAAAATCGCTTACCAGTTGTAATGGAGGATTATTCCACACGTCTGATTCTCTGATGTTGACTTTTTAGTTGTTATTCACCAGAAGAAACATGAATAAAAAAAATAATTATGAATCACTTTGATAGTATTATTTTCCTCCCTTTCTCTTTATTTATAACTAGTTATATCTTATCTCACACACTACATATTCTATTTTTATTTCTCTGTCTATATATAATAACATGTTATATAATTTTTATGTAACAATATGATTTCTCTACAAGAAAAAGAATAAAGTATCGCTATTATATATTGCATTCTCTATCGAGTTTGCAGGTCAACGTGTTTATATTCGACTTATGCTACATTTGACTTTTTGAAATGTAACGACTTTTAGTGAGAAAATCAATTGTACAACTTTATTTATTTATTTTTCTACACAACTTGCTCGGATGACAGATTTTAAAATAAAGTGAAATGTTATTACTTTCAAAAAGTAACTTTGGCCATCAACTATAATTTAAGCATAAATTTAACTCAAATTTAATCTCTTATTGTTTCTATAAAAGGATTTTATTAACCCCTTTTTTAGTAAGATTTTTTTTTATAATAGATTTTTATATCAGTTAATATATCCATTAAAAACTAATCGATTTAATAAAAACTAACGTGACATTTTTTAAAATAACAAAATTTTTTAACATCAATTGTAAAAATAATTAATGTAAAAAATATTTTTTAAATTGATTATTTTTCTATGTAAATAAATAGAAAAAATTTTAGAATTTTGAAAAAAAGTTATCCAAATCAATTATGGCTATTTAGATTGAATTAATCTAAATATGTTATATGAAATAAATATATAATTTATATTAATCAAAATTATTTATTAAAAGTTATGTTTCTTCAATGTTTATGACTGTGAAAGCAAAAAATTACATAATTTTTTTTGCATAAATTGTTTAGCAATTAATGTAAAAAATATTTTTAAATCATTTATTTTAAAAATTAATGTAAAAAATACTTTTTAAATTGATTGCTTTTTAAACTGATTAAAAACATACTTTTTATATCAGTGTCAAAATCTACCAATATAGAAAGTATATTTTACAATACTTATTTTTAAAACTAGTGTAGAATCAATTCAAAATGATACATTCAAATGCATGCACAAGTAAAATAATAGCATAAATTAGAGATAACGAACACAAACTTTTAATTATATTCTCAAATTTGAGTTAAGATTTTAGATGTGTCATTAACAAATATAAATTCTTAACTTTCTTCATTCTGATTTTTCTTCTTCAATAACACATTAATACATAACATTGACAAACATGTTACATATTTTTTATTTACAAACTCAATAAAAATTAACCACAAACACTTGAAATATTGTTTATTATTGATCAACAATTACATTTTCTAGATTTATATTATTAATGAACATGAGTATTTTATTGATCAATTATGAATAATTGATTTACAATAATCTTCTATAATTTCTCTTTCTGTCATAATGAATGAGTAGTATTTTATCCCATATAATAATCTTATGTAATTTTCAGGGTTTATATGCAAGTTAAAAAATTAAAAATAAAATTAATATAATTAGAGAAAAAATTAAATTTTAAACTAAATAAACATTTAAATTTTTGTTTTTAAAAGTTATTTTTTCTCTTTCTTTATTTTATCTTCAACAAAAGAAAAAAAAACATAATTTTCAATTCCTTTTTCGTCTGTTTACTTTCTTCTTGTTCAAATGGTGAACATTAAACTTACGGAGAGTCCCGAACTTTTTTACCCAGGTTCTAGTGTGAACTAAGAAAACTGTGACGTGTGTTCAATGCATCCCTGAGCCCTACTCGTTCTCCAATTATTTTAAATCTCATATTATATATTCACTTTTCTTTTTTAGCCTACATGATTAGATATATAACAGCAATTTAGGTAAAATAAAATGTACCGGTACACATTTTCCCTGAAAAGAATAAAAAGTAAAGTAACGTGAACACGAACATGATGTGACAGAGGGTGAATAGTTTTGAGATTTAGCAGCAGTAAGAGGCAATTGTTGAATAACGAGCTTGAACACTTCTCTCAACGGAAGAAAACAAGAAATTTGACATCATTGTATAAACCACACATCTTCTACTAAGTACATATAATTATATACTGACACTGTGGAAGTTGCAATCTTGACAATAGTTTTCCTTGAACAATTCTATCGAAAATATATAGATTCAGATTCTTGCAGTAACCATTACCATACATCAAACGGGAACGGTCCTAATAGAAGAAGAAGCCCCATGTGGGGGCTCAGCACTCTCAAGTTCACCTTCATCTTCATTCTCTCCGCTCAACTCCTCCAAGGATTTCCCTTTGGACTCGGGCACCAGCAGCGTGCAAAAAATGCCGAGACAGTTCACACAAGCAAGTACGATCAGTGTGTTCTTCATGCCGATCCCAGCAGGGTACCCTGCGTCGCGCTTTGCAGGATTCTTGTCCTGCGAAGCGTATAGAAATCCAAATGCCCCCACTATGGCCCCGGCCTTGCCCGCCGCGGAGGATATTCCATGACAGGTGGACCTCAACCTGGCGGGGAAGATCTCGGCCGGCACCACAAAGGTGGTGGCGTTGGGGCCAAAATTGGCGAAAAAGAAAGTTAAACCATACATAACAAGAAACCCAATTCTGTGGTCCTTTTTGGTCCAGTGGTTGTAAGGAATGGCAAGAGCAAACATAAAAACAGTCATGAAGAAGAAGCCCATGAGTTGAATGAAGAAACGGCCAAGATAGTCTATGAAAGCCACAGTGAACCAATAGCCTGGGACAGTTCCACAGAGAGCTATGAGAGCGGTGGCTCTAGCAACCCTGAAAACCTCATGAATGGCGTTCATTTCCCCTGCAGAAGGAATCCACCCAATTTTGCTGTATATATCCTTCTGAAAAAGGTTAGAACTGTAATAGGCAATGTCCAGCAAAAACCAAGTGGTGGTAGTCCCAAGTAAGTGAAGTCCATGCCTCCGCACAAACTCCCTAGAAAACAACCCAAAGCTATTTGCATCTCTGTCAGCTATTTTGTCCACTTTTTCTTGCTCTGCTTCGATCTCAACCTGCAACACCGTCGACATGTCTTGCGCGGCTTGCTTTGCATTCTTGGCTACCAAAGCCGTGTAACGCGCCGTTTCAGGCATCTTCATGCGCCAGTAATAAGTGAGAGCAGCCGGCAAGGCGCCGAACATTAAAATAATGCGCCAAACGTAGTCGGCTTGAGGGACAAGCGAGGCTTTGGGGTTTACATTGTAGGGAGGAGCTTTATAAGCGTGGTCGAAAGCCGTGGAGACTACGATAGAAACAACGGCGCCAGCAAGGATTCCGAAGCCTTGCATAGCGAAAACAGAAGCTATAAACGCGCCGCGAGTTTTCTTGTTGGCGTATTCGGACATGATGGTGGCGGAGAGAGGGTAGTCGCCGCCGATGCCGAAGCCGAGCCAGAAGCGGAAGAAGCAGAGGGTGGAGATGACGCCCTTAGGGGTGGAGCCGAAGGAGAGGCCAGAGGCGAGGGAGGAGAAAACCATGAGAGCAAGGGTTATGCCGTACACTTTTTTTCTTCCCAGTTTGTCTCCGAGCCAACCGAAGAAGAGTTGGCCGGCAAGGGTCCCGCACAATGCGACGCCGTTTACTGCGGCTGAGACGTTCGGAGGTAGAGTACCCGGTTTCGCTGCCCCTTCTTCGGTGTAGTATATGCGTCCGAGCAATTTTGTGACGTTTGGGATGCTGAAAAGATCGTACGCGTCTGTGAAGAACCCCATTCCCGCGATTATGATCGCTGTGAAATGGTACCATTGAGTCTTCGCTGCGTCTAGGGCGCTTAGAACGCCCAGTTGATCACGAGCCATGCTTTGAATAGCTTCAGAAGCTGAGCTGAACCGCTCCTTTTGCTGGCGTTTCAATGATTCAAGAATCAGTTCTTGCAGATCAAACACCACTTACATGTGTTTATATATACACTTTTTCAGTTCTCATGTTTGCGCCCACTGCTAGTTTTCTTTCGTCATGATCTGTTTTTTATTATTACTCACTCACTTGCGTTAGAATACTGGTTTATAATTTTTTTAAGAGTTTCTTTCCTTTTCCAAGGATATATATATATACGCGCATATAAATGACAATATATATATTTATTTTGATTCAAGAAAGTAATTATACTTTGCATACTTTTGATGTCAAAAAATTTAGCTTTATTTTTTGTAGTATGTACAAAGTGTAACTTTCAAGGACTAAAAGTAAATGATTTCGATCACTTCAATGATCAGATTGTATATTTTACTCTAAGAAAGATATAATTCTATTACATCGTAATTAAAACACAATGTTTATAATAAAAATTGGAGTTTCAAGTTGTTAAACGCAACCCTTATAAAAATATATAATGAAACGGCTTTTTTTTCAGGCAACGTGTCTGTGGTTGTCCTTTCTATAATTATTGAGTTGCTCATGCTACACTGCATAGACTTTATTGTGTGCTTAATTATTCCAATTGAATATGCGAATATATGCTGAATTTTCAAAGCAAGTTTTTAAACAATCCCTTAATTCAGGTGATCCAGAAATTGAATGATTGTAACCTTGAAAACGAAGCTACGTATGCATTGTAATGGTCAATATTATCTGCCTCAGCTTAATCCAAGTTCGCCATGCTGATGTTAATCCCTCGTATGTGTGAGAGAGGATAGCACTTTTACTATTTTCTAGTAGAATAACAGCTCTGTGTGTCTGTGTGCTAGAATGATCAGTAAAAGAGGGGCTAACCATTTTCAGATATTGAGAAGTTGGAGAAGGAAATTTAATAGACATTTTTAAGTATTTTTTATAGTACGGATATGTATTTTTAAGTGTATATATAAAAATAAAAGAATTGAATAAAAAATAGATATAAATATACCATGTATCATATATTGTATTGATTTTTAATAATTTAAATAAAAAATTAATAAGATGGGACATATATGAACTGCAATGGAGTTTCCTCCTACCATCGTCCGAGTCATGGATTATAGTCTAATATGGCATCTTGAGAATATACCAGAATATGATTCCATTCATTCAGAGTTTAAATTAATTAAGGTCAGCGATTACGCAAAGTACAGAATATAGTTAACTTTTATTAATATTTTCCACGTTCCACGTTATTTCATGAAAGTGTGAAACTACGAACTTAGAACAGGATATTTGATGCATAATATGCTATTATTTAGAGGGTAAACTTAGACCTTAGCGTTCATATTTGCTAGCAAACGTGTACACCCTACTTACACTCGCACCAGTAATTTCGACCAAAATGCAGAAAGATATTAAATTCTGAAATTTAAATTTAAATAATAACAATAAACTTATTGGATTGTTGCAGAGGTAATATTAATGACACTTATAATAATTTCAATGGCATTGATAATTATGAAAATTGTTAGATTCAAGTGTGAATTAATCTAGCTAATTCAATGGATATGAGCAAATTACATATTTATAAAAAATTGGATCCATACACCCACTGCCTTTAAAATTTTGAGGTTGCATTATATTTTAGTGTTCTGTTTGTTGTTAGGCTATGTCTCGCGTCCTCTACTAAATTTAAAATAAATAAATAATAAAAATAATATTTATTATTTTTATTATCAATTATTATGGAATAGTTTGATTTATATTTTATTATTTAAAATGGAGCTTCCATTTCTAAAATAGTGAGTATGCACAAATAAAAAAAATGTCAACGCAATTGAATTCCATTTTAAAATATTCTGAGGCAGCAACAATCGAAACCTTTTCTTACTTCCTTTTCATTTTGAAAATTTGCATATATGTTTCCTTATCGGTAGTCAACGATCATACACAAGGCAATAGAGCCTCCTGAGCTTGTATCATGTGAAGGCAGCGACTTACAGTTTTTTATATGAAATTGATTGTGTTGAACAACACCACACGTAAACTCTACTTTATATACTTATAAACATGTTGATATATAGGATTTTTAATTCATGATTATGTATATACTTTTTATTCTTGGTTGAAAAATTATATACATAATTTTTACTCTAATTAGGTAATCTCTACTCTTCAAAGGGATTAATAATTAACTGTGGTTGGAAAATATTCTTAGTATATAAAATAAATCTTAAATTAAATAATTTAATAACAAAACCATTACCATTAAGTGGTGGCAAACTGATCGGCTTAATTAATCGGCGACTTGTTTTATCGAAATAAATTGTACATATTAATGAAAATCAATGAAAAACTTTGGAGTGTGAAATTTTACAAAAGAAAATTATTCAATTAAATTTATTTCTAATTGAAAAAATTAAACCGGCTTTAATCTTTATAAATTTTTAAAATACTTTTTATTATTTATTGATAACGCAGTGATAAGTTCATATTTTAATATATTATATGACTTATATTTATACATTTAAACCCTATTTTATATATATTTACACTAATTATGTTATTAATTGTTATAATTTAACTGAAAGTTATTATTAGTTCATTATGGAGATATTTAAACTTATATGAAGATTGAGATATGAATCAGAGTTTGAATTTTTATTTTAAAATTTAAACTTATTTAAAAATTGAGATATGAAGATTTGGAGCGATTCTGATTATGGATAAAATAAATTTAAAAAGATAGAGTTCAATCGACTGGAAACTCAGGATATAGCTTATATAAAGAGGCCTTATGCTCCACACTTGACACTTTCACTTCTCTACACACCTTCTTCTCCTTCTTAGTTCTAATTAAACTCATCTTTGAGAGTCATTGAAGACCATTGGCAAGGACAATGAGCTTGTTCCTGGAGTCCAAATTGAGCGCCCTTCGGAGAATGAGAACTTTCTTCGTCTTTTACCTTTCTGGGTTTCTTTTGTTTGAGTTTTTCGTTGTGGTAATGAGTTTATTTATCACGTTCTTAGTTTATTTTGTTATGAGTAACTAAACCCATAGCTAGGGCTATGGTGGATCCTACTACAAACTTTGTGTGATTTTTACTTTAATGTTGGTATTGGTTTTCCTTTAATGTTTGGTTTATTTTTATTGGATTATATTGTATATTTTAAGACTTGATCACCCTTAGCATCCTATAGTTAGTTGCATTGTAGGCGATTGTACCACGTGTAATTAGTGGAACTATAAAATAAAATGAGATAAAGGGTTAAGTTAATCACACTTAATTTCCTTCTTTCAACTGTTATTAAATTAATAAACTCATAAGATCTTCATGCTTTTTCGACCAATTACCTTGCATGATCATTGGGGGTGTTTGCTCAAGGAAAAGAATATTGACATTGCATAATCATTAGGTGTTGATAGAACTAATTATGAGTGGTTGACAAATATTTGGATACCAATATCGAGATTAAATTAATTAGAATATAAAGAAGTGTAGTAAGTGAACTCATAAGTCCTAGGCTCATCTCATCCAATCTCTCTTATACATTATATTATTGTTCTTTTAATTTATTGTTAACATTAAGCTCTGTTTTTGATCCATTATAATCCCGTTACGTTTAAACAATCAAATTGAGTTATTCTTGGTACTTAAAAATAATCTCAGTGGAATGATAACTTGGAAACTCTTAATTCGAAAATCCTTTATTACTTTTTGATAGGTACACTTACTTACAAACAAGTTTTTGCGCTATTTGTAACATCCTCTTTTCACTTTTTGATAATTTATGTTTTATTTAATATTAAGTAGTATTAGAGTGCATTTAAAAGAAAGTATAGAGGATTTTTGGAAGAATTCTGGTGCAAGAGATCTTGCTCAGGCGAGGCAAATCTCGCTCAGGCGAGATTGAGCGTGCAGAAATACATAGTTGTAGGGCTATTTCACTCAAGCGAGATGCTTCTTGCTCAAGCGAGATAAGATAAATGTAGCCCATCTGTCACCTCACCCAGGCGAGATAGGTCGCTCAGGCAAGGACTCACAGGAGAAAGATCGTGCTCTCTGGATGCCATCTCGCCTCTTAGGCAAGATAGAGCTCGCTCAAGCTAGTATATCAGAAAATAGTTGGCGAGACCACTGTCTGCATATCTCGCTCAGGTGAAAGATCCATTGCTCAAGCGAGATGTTCCTCACTTAAGCGAGAATGCGCGAGGCTGAGGAGTATTTAAGAGATTTCCAGCATGGAAATTCTCATTTCATTCTAAACTCACATCCCTCTCTTAAGTTTTCTCTTAACTATCTCTTCCTTTTACCTAGATAAAAGCCTCAGAAACTGTGATTTCTCTTCAATGTCAATGTTGAAGCTAAGCGACTCTAAGTAAGATTCTATTAAACTTGATTTTCTCTGATCGTTTTTCTTATTTTTGTTTCTTTTGGATATCTCTTGATATTCAGGAGAACTTTCATAGTTGATCGTTGATCCTCTTCATTATCTCTTGTGAAAGCATCTTGGAGGTAAGGAGGGCTCTATTTTATCGTTATATTACAGTATTTATTTTTGTGATCTTAGAGCATTGTTATATGAATATTTTATGAGAATATGTGATTGAGATAACTATTGTTTGAATAATGAAGGAAAAAGATGTTTGATTGTTTGGACTGATTTATTGTTTGGGGCAAATGGCTAGTATATGCTTATATGCATTATATATGAGTACTTAATGTGAAATATTATGAAACTTGTTGAGTAATAGACTTAGTCTAGAAGTGCTTTACTAAGAACGATCTTATGAATGAGAAAAAGAATAACTTGGAGAATGATCTAAGAGTCGGATATAGATTGGATCTAGTGTGAATAGTTACAGAGATACACAGGGTATAGAGTTCGGAGACGATGAAATTCTGGGAGAAATGTAGGGTGGTGAGCGACATTTGCGTATGTGTGCACACTCTTTCTA